AGAGTTCTGTGTGTGTTGGTTAGGTTCATTTGTTCTAACGTGTAGTTCAAGTCCAATGTTTCTTTATTCATTTTCTGTCTGATCTATCCATTGGTGAAAATGTGGTATGACATCCCTACTATTATTTTGTTACAGTCTATCTTTTAGATCTATTAATTTTTGCTTTACATATTTAGGTATTCCAATGTCAGGTAAATATATATTTATAATTATTATGTCCTGTTGGTGAATTGACCCCTTTATTTTTATATAATGATCTTCTTTGTTTCCTTTTACAATTTTTAACCTAAAATCTCTTTTGTCTGATCTAAGTATAGCCACCTTTGCTCTCTTTTGGTTACCATTTGTGTGGAATATCTCTTTCCATCACTTTCAGTCTATATATGTCCTTAAGTGTGTCTTCTTAAAGCTAAAGTCTTATAGGCGGCATATAGTTGGATGCTGTTTTTTAAATTCATTCAGTCACTTTGTGTCTTTTGATTGGAGAATTTAATTCATTTACATTTAAATTAATTATTGGTTGTTAAGGACTTAATACTACATTTTGTAGTTTGTTTGTCTGTTTCCCTTCTTACTTGCTGGGTTTTTTCGGGGGTTTTTTGTTGTTGTTGTTATTTTTGTTTTTGTTTTTTTAGTGGTATGCTGTAATACTTTTCTCTTCATCTTTTGTGCTTTGACCAAGGGTTTTTTCTTTCTGGTTACCATGGCACTTACATACTACATCTTATAGTAGTGTAATTTAAGCTGCTAACAACCCAACTTCAATCACATGCAAAAACCCTACACTTTTACTTTTCTCCCAACCATATTTTATGGTATTGATATCACAGTTTACATATTTTTATATTGTGTATCTGTTAAAAATTATTGTAGTTATAGTTATTTGTAATACTTTTTCTTTTAACCTTTATATTAGATTTACATACCACTGTTAAAGCATTAGAGTATTTACATACCACTGGTACAGCATTAGAGTATTCTCAATTTGACTGTGTATTTTACCTTTACCATTGAGTTTTATACTTTTGTATGTTTTTATGTTGTTATTTAGCTTCCTTTCATTTCAACTTGAAGAAATCCCTTTTGCATTTCCTGTAAGGTAGTTCTCATAGTGATGAATTCCCTCAGCTTTTATCTTGGAATGTCTTTATTTTTTCTTCATTTTTTTAAGGACAGCTTTGCTGGTTATAGTATTCTTGGTTGGCAGTTGTTTTTTTTTCTTTTCAGCACTTTGAATATGTCATCCCACTCCCTCCTGCCTTCAATATTCTGTTGAGAGATCTTCCAATAGCCATATGGAGGTTCCATTATATGTGATGAGTCTCTCATATCTTGCTGCTTTCAAAATTCTCCCTTTGTCTTTGACTTTCAACAATTTGATTATAATGTGTCTCAGAGTGTTCTTCTTTGGATTGATCTTGCTTGTAGTCTTTTGAACTTCATTTATCTGTACATCCTTTTTCCTTCTAAGATTTGGAAAGTTTTCAGCCAGTATTTCATTAAATAAGCTTTCTTCCCCTTTCTCTCTCTCTGTTCTCCTACTGAGACTTTCATATTTGTAAATTCGTACATTTGATATATCTCATACAATCCTTATGTTTTCTTCACTTTTTAAAAATCTTTTTTTTTGTTCTTCTAATTGGCTAACTGTAAATGACCTGTCTTCGAGTTCTCTAATTCTCTCTTCTGCGTGATCAAGTCTGCCGTTGAAGCTCTCTATTGAGTTTTACAGTTTTGTTGTTGTATTCTTCAGCTCCAGGTTTTCTGTTCAGTTCTTTTTTATGGTTTCTGTTTTTATATTAAACTTCACATTTTGTTGATGTATTGTTTTCCTAATTTCATTTAGTTGTCTGTGTGTTGTTTTTGTTTGGGGGCTTTTTTGCATCTCATTGACCTTCTCTAAGATGATTATTTTGAATTCTTTTTCAGGCAATTTGTAGATCTTCGTTCCTTTATGGTTGGTTACTAGAGCTTACTAGTTTCTTTTGGTGGTGTCATGTTTCCCTGGTTCTTTGTTTTCCATGTAGCCTTGCATCGATGTATGTGCATCTGAAGGAAAAAACATGTCTTCCAGTCTTTATGGACTCATTTTGGCAGGAAAAGGCCTTTTGTTAGGTCCACACAGTGGTGGGATTGCCTTCGTGGTTGTGGTTGAGTGGATTTGAAGCTGCTACTGGGTCTACAGTAGGTCCACAGTTGGTGGGCCTGTTACCAGGTGCTTTATGGGCATGGATCTTGTCCAGTCCTTGGGGAGACTGGACTGTCTCCAGGACATTGGTCAATAGGACTGGCATTAGGATGAGGGTTCACTTCAGGGTCTATAAGCAGCAGGCCTGTTACAAGGTGTATTGATGTTTGTGGCTTCCTCTGTGTCCCCAGAAAGGGTACCACTAGATCACTGGGTGGTTCCCTTGTCAAGCAGTATTGCCCCCTTCATGGCTGAGAGAGGCTGGAACTAAGTCACAAGGCTGCTTCAGAGTCCACAGCCAAAACCAAGGTTGTCAGGCCTGTCTCTGGAGTAATGGATAAGTGTGCTTCCCAGCAGGTCCCTGGTTGGGCAGGCCTGCTTTCTTGCTGTAATTGAAATTGACTGGATCCAAATGACAGGGCCATTTTCAGATTCACAGTAAGACCAAAGATAGCAGGTCAGCCTGCAGGAACACTGACAGGCTGCCTTCCTGTGGGTCCCCAGGCTGGCAGTACTGCTTCCAGTACTACATCCAAGAGGAGTCAAGGCCAGGATCCAGGGTAATTTCAAGATCCTCTGTGGGACCAAGGTTGGCAAGCCTACCCCAGAGACATAGATGGGAATGTCTCCTGGCTCGTCTTTGGTTAGGTAGAACAATTTTCAGACCACAGCTGAGATGGCTGGGACTAAATTTCTGGACTATTTCAGGAGCTTCTGTGGGACCAAGGCTAGTATGCCTGTGGCACAGAAGTGTGCGTCTCCTAGCATTTAAGAGCTGTGCTCTGGTCTTTTCTTCCATAGAGTTAACACTACAGTTGGATTGTTGCTTATAGAAGATTATTCTTTTTCTTTTGAGTTTTTAGTAAGACACAGCTTAATAGATGGAAGCATTCATAGCTAAAGTGGTAGTTCACTTGAAATGTTTTTAAAAGTTAGACCTTTAAAGGAACATGGATGTTTCTGTCTGAACTCCTAAATTGTCACTTCAGTTCTAATTTTCTATTTTCTCTTTGCTTTTATTTGAGATACTGAAATAGTTCTCTTATAATAAATTCTTTAAACCCTGTAAGTGTAATTGAAAGTCCATACATCAAAAGAAATAAATGTAGACTCAGGATTTTAGCATGTGGATTTTAAATTTTTCATAATTCTATCTTGCTGACTTAAAATTAGTATAGATTTCTTCCTTGTTTTTTATTTATACTTTTACCTTTGAGAGTTTCTCCATGTAAAAATATGTTAAGGGGATTGAGGAGAGGGCTAATACTGCTGTGGGAATATTTTTGCTTCTTTACCCTTGTGGTGTAGTCTAGGTAATTATAGTGCTCATATTTAATGTCTCAGAAAGCTAATAAGTTATTGAGTGTTTACTCTTTGCCAGGTGTTGGGCTAAACACTTTTTTGCATTTGCTCATTTAATTGTCACAACTACGATATAATTATCATCCCTATTTAACAGATGAGGAAACAAAGGCTTAGAAAGCTTAGAACTTGTATAGTGAGTTGCAGAATTGGGAGTTAAATTTAAACATGTCTTATTCAAAATCCCATACCCTTAATCTCTATGTCATACTATCTTCCAGAGTACTCCAGGAGGAAAACTTTCCCAGGAGGGCTACTAAAACACTTGCTTTATTTTCCTTATTTTCTTATTTCTCCATTTTTTTTTTTTTATCATTTTTTTCATTTTCATACCCTTCTGGTGAAAATGGTTATATAAGATGTAAAAAATACCCTTTAAAATATTTAGCTTTATATGAATCTGCCTCAATCTAATTAAACATTATTTGTATCTCTGTCATTGTCCTTGGCAATGCCATTGTAAGAAAATATTCATTCATTGGATTTTTCACTCTTTGCTTACCTTGGAATTTTTGGCTTTTGTGGTGTTGTTTAAGGAATTTATTTATTTTTTATGGAATACAGAATTATATTTCAGTAAATGTATACAATGTGTGATCAAATCAGGATAGTTAGAATATTCATCATCACAAAAATTCACCCTTCCTTTGTGATGAGAATATTTGAGCTCCTCTCTTCTAGCCATTGGAGAACATACAATAAATTATTGTTAATTATAGATGCTTAGCACTCCTGTACACCATTTGAACTTATTTTTCCTATATAGCTGTAATTTTATGTCTGTTAACCAACCTCTCCCTGTCCTCCTCTCACCTCCCCTTCCCAGCCTCTAGTAACCACAATTCTACTTTCTACTTCTAAAAGTTCAACATATTTTTTTTTCCCCTTGGCTCTCACATGAGTTGAGAACATGCACTGTTTGTCTCTCTGTGCCTAATGTATTCCACTTAACATAATGTCTTCCAGGCTCACTCATGTTACCACAGATGACGGAATTTCATTCTTTTCTGTGGCTGAGTAGTATTCCATTGTGTATACATACCACGTTTTCTTTACCATATTCTTAATGTTTCTAATCCCATAATATCTGAAGTGAGAGTAAGTGAAAAGTGTTTTTGAATATAAATTCAGCTTATCTAATGTAACTAAATTTTTTTACTATAAAACCTAGCTACTAACTAAAAAATCCTATCTTCAGTGTCATATCACTGTATAACTTTCTGGTGTGCTTTGATAGTAAATTCTCTATGGGTATAAATTAAATGACTTCTACAATTAGAGACTAAAATTTTTAGCAAACATTAAAAAAGAGTAAACACATACGCACCTAATAATTTGTTTTGATGCACATACAGTTTTGATAATAGCAAGTGTTTTTATGTTGCTTTTCCTTTTCATTTTTAGCTAGATTTTATTTGGTAGTGATGTGTTTTCTTCTTTATGTTCAAAGGGCAGCCATTCTACAAAAGTGGAAGCTGTGATCAGAACTCTGATGAAAATACAGCTGAGAGATCCAGGAGCTAAAGCTCTCGTTTTCTCAACGGTATATTCAATATTTTCATATTCAGCATTAACTGAGACTGGTTTTCTGTCTGCAGTCAGTTTATATCTGAAAACTAATTTTTAATGTTTACCATAATGCAGTTAAGATTTAGAATTACTGTTACATTTTTTCCATACCACTTTTTTTTCCCCATATCCATAAGATAGAATTATTTTTAGAGAAATTTGATGGTATTTCACAAGGCAATTCCTGTAATTACATTTTATGATTTTATATTTAATTTAGTTTTCTTATTTAAATATTTTAAAAATTGCAGTTTATAAACTTGAAAGTCATTTCCCAAATGAATTTGGTTAAGGAAAAAAATTAATCTTCTGAGTAAAGTGTTTAGTAGAAACTCTAGTTTTCATTACTGAAAGATAAGTCACCACATCCAGTAAGCACTCCATTATTTATTTTCTGTTTTTGCTTATCTTAATTTAGTTTTCAAAGACATTCATGTTGTTATCCTATCTTTCAGTCAGCATTTTATGCAAAAAGAAAATACCACTACTGTTTCAAGAGAGAGCTAAATAATATTGATGGTACTTCATTTGAGGGTTTTGTTTTTGTTTTTATTTACTGAACTCTGAGGTATAAAAGTTATGTTGATTTCGTCCCTTTCCAAATCCTCTTTAGATGAAAGCTGTGTGTAAACCGTGTTTTTCTTATTGTTATGTGTTCTAGTGGCAAGATGTATTAGATATTATTTCAAAAGCTCTCACTGACAACAACATGGACTTTGCACAAATCAGTCGTGTTAAGACATTTCAGGTATGTCAAGATTTTACTCCTGTTTTTCGTAGTGGATTCCGTTGCAAATTGAAACTGCTATTAACTAGCTTACTTACATTTGTCGTCTTATGTCATATAAACCACATAAGCAGGGTTTGAGTTCTTGATTCATTATAAAATTAACATTTAAAAGCAAAGTAGAAAAACTGTAAGTATTTTTGGTCTGTTCAATTATACCCGTAATAAGACCATCTCTTTTTAAAGATGTTTTGACTCGAGGTCCTTTTTCTGAATATAGGGAAAGATTGCCTATGGTATATCTTTTGAATGGACAGGGGCCTCGTGCACCTGTAATTAGGTTCTAAAGACGCTGTATCAGGCAAAACTGCATATGGTCAAATTGTCCTCACATCCCACTCAGCACAGTGACAGGTGCATAACCTAAGAGAGACACACACACAGAGACCAAGTGAAGATTTAGCAGATTCGTATTTTTTATCTCACATTCACTGTAGCACATTATTTCTTTTTTCTCTATCTCTTTTTCCTCTAAGCTCATACTCATATAGCTTAATTTGCATACATCACATGCATCTATATATTATAAAGAACGACAGCATATATGATACTTTTCCTCATAATTACAGCAAGGCAACAAGTTTACATTTTCTAAAATTGGTAATTTTGCATTTCATTTTCTTAGCTGTTACATTTCACAATGACTTAATGGGTACCATTAGACATCTTTAAAGTGAGCTATGACATGCTGCTCTTATTTACCTGATCCAGCTAAAATTAAAATGTACCTTTCTTTTTTAGGAGAATCTTTCAGCATTTAAACGTGATCCCCAAATCAATATTTTGCTGCTGCCCCTGCACACAGGTTCTAATGGATTAACTATCATTGAAGCAACTCATGTTCTCTTGGTGGAGCCCATATTGAACCCTGCCCATGAGCTTCAGGCCATAGGGAGGGTGCACCGAATTGGACAGACAAAGTAAGGACTAAAATTAGCATCAGTCACATTTGCTTCAGGTTTCTAAGATACCTAATTAGCATTTAAGCTCTTCATTTATGTTCATCGTAGCCTATATGTTTTTAATTACCTTCTTATTTATTAAACTTTTAGGCATTATTGTATGACCAAAAGGTATGAGATTTCCCACCCTCCCTTCTCCAAGCAGCAAACACCCAAATTCTCCCATATTTTTTTCCTCCCTCCCACAAAAACCTGATCACTTTATCAAAAAAGCTTGTGAGAAATACTTAAGAGAGCTACATAGTTGAAGGCATCCTTCATGACTTTAAGGAATTGATTTTTGATTATCTAAAATTGTCTGTGCCTAAAAGAAGACAGACCACATGTATCACTGAAAAAAAATGGCTCCTTTTTAAATTGTTACCCTTAAGAAAAGCCATCTTCCTAGGTCAGCTGTAAGAGATAATTAGATTTGGTTTAAGGCCTAAAGCAAAGCTCATAGTGAATATTATGTGATATGTACTACCTTTATTCAAATATCAGAATGGACCATTATCTTTGATAAGGATTTCCAGATGTATTACCTCCTGGATTTTAGATGCCTCAAATGTTTAAACACACACACACAAATCCATATTAAGTAAGCACTTATTAAATAAATGTTTACTGAGCACCTACTGTATGCCAGGCATTATGCTAGATACTGAAGATTCAAATTGAGTAAAGCATAATCTGTTCCCCAAAGAGGTTGCTGTGTAGTACAGGGAATAGATGGTTTAAAGTATTGCAGTAGAATGTGCAAAAATATAACAATAAAATTATTGTATTAACAAAAGAAGGCAGTGATTAATCGTGCCCTAGACAGCTGGGGAAGACTTCATTAGGTTGAGTCTTGAAGGAATAATTATTTCAAAGGTGGGCTAAAGAAGGGTATTCACACAGCCAAAGAGAGTTGAATATGCAAAAACACAGACATGATAAAGATATGACCTCTCTAGGGACTGTAAGGAGTTTAGAATTGCTAGAGTAGAAAACAGGAGAACAGGAGTGGTAGGAAATGAGGTCTTGGATGTCATATGCAGAAATATGGACTGCTCTGTAAGCAGTAGCTAGGAGAGCAAATGAAGGGTTTGAATTTTAAGCAGGAAGGAAACATATTCAACAAACCCTTAACAAAATTAAGTTACATAACTACAATAAATGAAACTTGTTCTAGGGCATCACTAAGTATCATTTAAAATGCATTTATGTCTTATTTGTTCTTTGTTAGTTTCGTTCTGTATTTTTAAACACTGACTTCTTGTCCTACCAATGTTTTTCTAAAGGAGAGACTGGACTCATCTCAGATTTAAAACCACAAGTCTAAGAAGGCCATTCAGCACTGACAGTCTTACTATGCTTCCCTAGTAAACAGATTTTTTTGCTTTCTGGGGAGGCTATCTTATGTCCTTTTTTTTTTCCTTTTTGGTGGCTGGCCTGTATGGGAATCTGAACCCTTGACCTTGGTGTTATCAGTACCACACTAACAACTGAGCTAACTGGCCAGCCTGTCTTAAGTCTTCGAACTCTTCCTCCTCCTCACTGATGATCTTGCCTCATACTAGGAAAAGAAATACAATCCAATTAGAAGTACCTCATCTTTCTATCATCAACTTGAACAGTCTGCCTGCATCAGTACCCACACAGTTCATTCAGTAGATTTTTATTGAGAACTTTCCATGTTCCAGGCACTGTTTTAAGTATTTGAGATGCCCTCATGGAGCTGTAAGGGGGTTGGTAGAGACAGGTGGCAAACAATATAATATGTAAAATATATACTATGTTAGGAGCTGGACAAGCAGAGCAGAGTGAGGAAGATTTAAGAGTGCAGGTGGCTGGGCAGGAGAGCATGGAGGACCTTATTAAGAAGATAACATCTGAGCAAAGATTTGAAAGAGATAGGAAATTTCATGCAATTATCTTGGGAAAGAATGTTCAATTAGTACACTCAGTGCGAAGGCCCTAAGTCAAGAGAATGCCTGGTGTGTTTGAGAAATAGCAAGAAGCCAGAGTTACTGAAGTAGAGTGAGCCAAGGGGAGAGAAGTAGGAAGAGAAGCCAGAGGGTAAGGGGGATTATATTTGGCCCATGAGGCCCTTGTAATGAGGTTGCTTTTACTCTGTGTAGAGAGCCACTGGAAGGATTTGAGCAGAGGAGTAGCATGATCTCACTTAAGGTTTGAAATAATGATTCTGAGTGCTATGTTCAGGCCGGGGGCAGAAGGGAATAAGTGAGAGTAGAAGTAGCAAGAGCCTTGGAGGCCATTGCAGTCATCCTGGTGAGAGTTGAAGGTGACCTGACCATAGTAGCAGCAGTGGCCGTGTTCTAGATATATTTTGAAGGTAGAACCAGTAGCATCTGTGGAAAGACTGGACATGGGGTGTGAAAGAGTCAAGGATAACACCATGGGTTTTAGCCTGGACAACTAAAAGGATGGAATAGCCTTCAGCTGAGCTGGAGAATACTACAGGATAGAGTAGGTTTGGTGAGAGAACAGAAGATTACTTTAGATATAAGTTTGAGATGTTTATTAGACATCCAAATGGAGATTTCTGTTCTGTAATTGGAGATATGGATGGTCTCTGACTTAGGATTTTTCATGTTTACGATGGGTTTATCCAGATGTAACCCCCTGGTAAATTGAGGAGCATTGGGACTTAAGATGGTTTGATTTTTTCAACTTAAATTTTTCAACTTTACGATGGGTTCATCAGGACTTAACCCCATCCTAAGCTGAGGAACATCTGTACAAGTCCTAGAGATCAGAAGAGAAAGCTAGGCTGATATGTACATTTGGAAGTCAACAGTATATAAGGTATTTTTAAGTCAAGAGACCGAATGAGATTACATAGGGAGTGAATGCACATAGAGAAGAGGACTGAGAACTAAACTCCAGGGCACACCAAAGTTAAAAGGCTCTAGGAAAAGAGAAGGAAACCAACAAAAGAGACAGATAAAGATCAAACAGTGAGGAAGAAAACTAGAATACGGGCATGTCCTAGGAGCAAAGTAAAGAATGTAACTCAAGGAAGAGGATATGATCAATTGTGTCATGTGCTTTCAAAATGTGAAGTAAGATAAGGATTGACAATTGGTCATTAGTTTAGCAGCATGGAAATCAAAACCAGTTTCAGTGGAGTGATAGAGTTGACAGCCTGATTTGAGTATAAGAGAATGAGATTTTATGTATTTCTTATTTAACAAACGCTTATATAACAAAGAGAGGTTAGGTAGCTTGTCCACAGTCACACAGCTAGTAAAAGTGGTGACAGGGTTTCAAGCACAGCCATTCTGCCTCTACAGTCCTTGCTTTAGCCATAGTGCACTGCTGCTTCTGTGTAGCTGGCAGGATTAGTATTTTGAGGAGTTTTGCTACAAAGGTGAGCGGAGAAAAGGAAGAAAATTAGATCAAGTTTGATTTTTTTTTTTCCCCTTTCAAGTGGGAGAAACAAGGGAATGATTCCTTAGAGGTAGAAAAACTAGTGAAGCAAGAGATGGAGGAGAATGCTGGTACAGTGTCTTTGAGTAGGAGAGGATATGGGATCTAATAGGGAAGTATAGGGATTGGTTTTAGGTAGGAACATGGATATGTCATCTGTAGTAATAGGCAGGAAGGCACAGTATATGCCTTCCCTTTTATTAAAGCAGAAGTATACCTTTTCTTTCAAAAACCAGCCGTTCTATTTGTCCTATCCCTTCTTATACTCTCATGGGCTTTCTTCTTATGATACATCACCACAGATATATGTCTTAATATTATCCATCTTTAAAAATAAAAAACACTCCTACATTCTGCCTCCACCCCCACTTCCTTACCTCCCATTCTTTCTCATCCCTTCTGGTTGGATTTCTTTTCCCACTATACCACTGAAATGAGGCTCATAACACTATTAATGAACGACTTCTTCTTAGTGGTCCAGGGGTTCTTTTTCTCTGTCTACACTCCTAGATGAGTTCTTCCCATCCCAGGGCTTTATGTAGCACTTACACATGGATGACTCTCCCCCCAACCCAGACATGCCCCTTTAGCTCCTGTCCCAGCTTCATAAATCCAGTTCTGTCTCTACATATTTCTGTAGAGTCTACGCCTCCCCTTGGGTACCTGTCTTAATAGGTGTCTCAAATTTAACATGAGCAGAACAAAATGGTATTCCTATTGTACTCCCACCCACTGAAGCCCTCCCCATCTTATAATGTGAACCTATCATCTGTAATTGCTCAGACTAGAAATCTAGGACTCTTCCATATTTCTACTTTAACATCTCAAGTCTAAATCATCATTTAAGTCTTGTCAGCTCTACCTTCGAAAGATATTCCACATGTACTGACTACTTACCACCTCCACTGATACAATCCACACTCTTAGCTGGATGACTACAGAACTTACTTAACTGTCTTCTCTGCCTCCACTCTTGTTGCCAGACAGTCCATCCTCCACAAAGCAACCAAAGGTGTTCCTAAAGTACAATCAAGTATAAATCAAATCATACATAAAACCCCCCAAGGGCTTCCTATTATAACCACAACAAAATCCAAATTGCAGGTCATGTCCTGCAAGACCCTGTATGATCTGGCACCTGCCCACCTTTCCAACCTCATTTTTACCTCTCTACCCTTCATTTACAATATGCTTCTGCCATCCCAGCAGCTTTTTTGCCCCTTGAACATTTTAAGGTTGTTCCAAGTGTGTTCTTTTCCCAGAGACTGTCATGTGTGTGCTCTTTCTTCTGTTTGGATGCTCTTCCTGCTCTTCCTTTGCTTACCAGCTTCATTTCCATCCCTCATGTTTCAACTCATATGTCAGCCTCCTCGTGGCATTATCTGTACCTGAAACTGTTTTATTTCTTTGTGTTCACAGTCCATCTCCCCTCAGGAGAATGTTAGTTCATAGAAATGAAATAGCTCCTTTCATTCTCTGCTGACCACCCCCAGCTCCTTGATTAGGACCTGCCACAAGTGGGCACCAGCTGACTGATGAATTTAGCATACCGTATGTGAAGTTGGTTTGTAGTACTAACTTGTTTTGAGACATTTTTAAACTTATCATTATTATGTACCTTCTAGACCTACTATTGTACACAGATTCTTAATTAAAGCAACAATAGAAGAAAGAATGCAGGCAATGCTGAAAACCGCTGAGAGGAGGTAGGTAACAATTTACTGCAAGTAGATGGGAGAAATTTTCCTGTTTGAGTTGGTGTATGTGTTTGGAACTTCTTCACTTAGATGACGACAAAAGACATAAACAGAAATACTTTTTAAAAGTAAGGTTTGACATTTTATGTATTCAGTGTTTCCCAATTAACGCTCTGGTCATTCTGTATTTGACTTAATTTATTAATTGGTTGTAATATGTAAAAATATTTAAACTAACTTACATTTCTTTGCCACATTGGATTACTTTTTAAATGAAATATATCTTTATGCCCAACCTAAAGGCCTTAAATCTGATATGTGTAAAACCAAACTTATGTTACTGCTTTAAACGTTACCCTTGTTAGTCACGTGCAAATAGCAATATCTGGACTTAAGAACTTGGATGGTGATTGTGGTGTCAATTCCAAAGGCAAAACAGGAGCAGAGAGACTAAAACAGTCTTAATTTTAAACACTTGACTTTGGAATCAAAACTTCTTAATATTTATGCCATAGTTTTTATTTAAAGTGATTTTAAAAACATAAAGCAATTCCTTTCTATATTCTTCTGAGATATGTAGGATTGGAAGAAACCTAAGGAAGAGATTATTGCTTTAGAAGCATTTCCTCAGAGGTACTTTGTATAGCAAAGAAACTATTTGAAACAAGAAATTTTTTTCCACTAGTGGCGTATGAGAAGGAAGAGGCTACAACGAGAGCTTTTTACCTAAAACATGAGGGCTTTTTGTTCTTGTTTTCATGTGTAACAGACTTAAGTGATTTTTATTTAAGCTGTTTAAACAAAATTGTAATTAGAAGAGCTGTTGAAATTCTCTTGAAACAAATTAGGTGGTAAGAAGGTAACCTTAGTAGCAGTTGTTGGGGTTTTATTTTGATTTTATTTATTGTGCAGAGAAAAAACATTTTATGATGAAGCCTGAAAATAATAAATAGAAGTCTTCACTAATTTTGATGAGATGTAATAACGATCTCATTGCCTACTTTCTCCTGAGAATTTCTTATGTCCCAATTACAAAAACTTAGGAACAAATATGTGTCTAGTCTTATATTATTACAGATATAATCATTGATTTTGGGGGGTTTCTTTCTAACTGTGCTCACTTGGAAAACCTGCAGTCACACAAACTCATCAGTGAAGCATTCAGAGGCCTCCGTCTTGACCGTGGCTGACCTGGCGGACCTATTTACCAAAGAAACTGAAGAGCTTGAATGAACTATACTGGATTGAATCCACACACTTTAATGCATTAATAAACTTTCATAGCTGTAGAGCAAAGTTATTAGTTTTAAAGTCCGGTAGGTTTCAGTAAATACTGTTCCTAGTTGAATGATTTTTTTTCTATTTTGGTTATATAGTAGCCTAGTCATTGAGCCTTTTTCAATGTACTATTTTCAAAAGGTCTATGAAGATTTTTAACTTTACACTTCTAATAAAACATTTATTTTTGTTCTGAAGAATATATCTGTATTTGACTTAAGTTAATTTATTAACTTAAGATCAGTCATAAATGAAGTTGATGAGATCAATCATAAATAGAGTTGGAATAAGAGAAAGTAAGTTAGTCTAGTTTTATATGACCTGGTATATTCAACGAACATAGATCTCATTTTTGAAAGGGTCTTCAGTGTCATTAACACATGAATCACCAGTATCTTGTAATATTTTAAGTAGATGATGAATTATATTAACTCCTTGTTATTTCAGTAGGTTTAGTTACACTATATCTCCATGTATAGTAAATTTACAGTAATACAACTCCTAACAATAAGTTAATGTTAGGCAATTATTTCTTTTTTCTGCATCTTGCTACTGAAAATCAAAACAGTGAAAACTTTTCATTTTGTATTATTTGTTAAGTGGAGTCAGTGTGAGCAGTTAACTCTAAATAGTGTTTTTAAATATATTAACATTTACCTTAAGGAATAAAAAAAAAAAAAAAACTTTACCTTAAAATTATCTAACTGCTTTCTCTACTCTTAATTTTTCTTATTTTGAAGTTTTTATGTTTTAAGATTGATATATCTGTAAATGTTGTACTTTTTTATGATTTTAGGTCTTATTGTTATAACATGGAAATATAGCAGGATTTCCTTTTCATTATTATTGTTATACTGATATCTTAGATTCCTTTACTTTCCCGTGTTCTTATGTAGCTAGAATTTTTAGCCATTAATAGCTAAATTTGTGATAGTTTGTTATTTTATTCCAGTTCTTCCCTTAAGGACTAGTTATTTGATCTTCTAAACAAGCGAATGCCATGTTCACATAAGCAAATAATTGCAAGTTATAATAACTGAGTGTTTCTTCTTCTGTGAAGAATTAATGGACTTTGAAATCTCTAAATAAGGAGTAGCTTGTTGTATCCTAGCCATTTGGTGTAATACGAATGTTCTTGTTCTTTTTTGTTTTGTTTTGTTTTGTTTTGTTTTGTTTGAGCCTTCAGAGTTTTAAATGACCCTTAGGATTCATTAGATCCTACTTAGCTGCCCAGAAAACTGTAATAGAAATTTCCCCTGGATCACATTTGTCCAAGAGGCTTTGGTGCTTAGTTAAGGTGCATTTTCTTACTCTAGGTTTATAGGGTGACATAATTCAACTGAAGAAAACACACACACATTTTTGGTGCTTATTCTCCAGTTGAAGGGAGATATGCATTTTTTCTTTTATATGAAATTCAACAGAACTATTATTTTTGTAGCTCTTTACATATTATAAAGAGCTTTCCTGTACATTCGCTTGTTTAAGTTGCCCAGCAATCTGTGAAGTTGGTATTAATATCAAATTTATTTTAAAGGTAGATAACTGAGGTTCACAAATATTGGGAAACTTGCCTATGATATGTAGCAAGTAAACAGTGGAGCCCAGGTCCCCTGACTCCAAATCCCATGAATCATATGCTGAGATTCAGAAAACCCATGATTACAATTTAATAATGGAACTATTTCAGTATTTCTTTTTGTTTGTTTCTAGTATTCTTTTTTTGAGCTATGTTTTAGAGAAAACAATTTGATATGGTTCAATTTTGTAAAAAAAAAAATGTATACTATCTGTATTAGAGAAAAATTGCTGTTATTTATTTCTGTAAGATATCATCAATTAAATAAATATTTTAGTGGGAATTGAAATTGTAGGATTAATTTCTGAACCATGGAACATACAGGTTTTTTCTCTTAACGAAAGTTGTCAAAATTACTAATACTACGCAGTTCCATATTTTATATACGTTTGTTATTTCTTCAAAACAATTGTGACAGCCCTACCAGTTATTCAAAAGAAATATAGATCTAATCTCCAAACAAAGGATTCTTAGCTGCAGATGAAGGATTTTTCATTTTCTTCCTTCATCATTTTTTTGTTTTGTTTCGTTTTGTTTTGTTTGTTGGGGGTGGGTGCGTGTTGTTTTTTTGGTGGCTGGCCAGTAGAGGGATTGAACCTTGGACCTTGGTCTTAGCAGCCCCACGCTCTTACCAACTGAGCCAACGAGCCAGCCCCATCATTTTATGTTCTCTGAAATAACCCTGTTTATAAGTAGTTTTTCTTAAATTGGTGCTATACTAATGAACCAGTGAGAAAAACAATGAGATAACCCCAATTCTTAGAATAGCCCCAATCCTCAGAGCTTAAACGTGTTTGGATCTCGGGAATTGTTCTCTGTTAAATGACCTAGATGAGTTTACGAGAACTGAAAAGATTTATTGATATATAGTGTAATACTTAATTCCATAGCCTTTTGCTTCAAACCCAGATAGCTTTACTATATTTATTGAAGCTTCAACTTTTTTCTTTGCGTGTGAGCTCAGCAGAATGAGCCATACATTTAGTTTTAGGAATTAGTCCCTTTCATATCACATTAATAACAAACTAAACATCTTAACCTGATAATTCAACATGTAGCTACTAATACTTTACAAATAATTATCAAACCAACTACTTACCAAAATATTTAGGAATTGAATTTGGCAATGTAAGATTAATCATCAAGTCAAACTACCCTTTCATGTAGACAAAGGAGGAAATTATGTACTTTAAATCTGCTCTCATTTACTAGCCTCCCCAAGATTTAGCCTGCTTGAGTTCTTTATGTTTTTTAAACTACAAAATAATCTTTTAGAAATTCAGAAACCATTAGTGTTAAATTACCTCAAGCCTACTTAATTTGGATAAAATGTATCTTTCCATTTTTCTGGAATGTAGCTAAGCAAAATTCCACAATAATATGTTATTTCAAAATTTTTAACTGGCATACCAAAAATAAACACGAACAGTGCTGGCCGGTTAGCTCAGTTGGTTAAAGCGTGGTGTTATAACACCAGGGTCAAGGATTCGGAACCCTGTACTGCCCAACTGCCAAAAAAAACCCCACAAAAATAAATATGAAATGTCATTACAATAGTACAGTAAAGGCAATGCATTTTAAGCCTGGCTACTCTGATAAAGGAAATCTAACCTTCAATAATATTTCTTCAAAGTGAGATCAGTTAATTATTTTATAAAAATGTTCTGTTTACAAGAATCTCCGTGGACCTCTTATGTTGTGAAGCCTACACGAATGCTCATCACATGTAAGGGCTGTTGTGAAGCCTACACGAATGCTCATCACATGTAAGGGCTGAATGAACCACTTGCAAGCCTTTCATTAGAGGAAGGCTATATAGGGTAATTGATAACCACAAGAAGAGTTCAAGTCTCACAATAGGTACATGGTTTTGCCTCTGAGTATAGAACAGGAAATATCACACACAGAAAATAGCAGAACTTGGCAGGGACCAGAGCTGCCATCTCCACCCTTCTTTCTTCAGACAACCTTTCAGGGACATGCGTCACTCATCTTTGAAGAGCAAAGGTCCCACACCATCTGTGGATCCCTGTTCCATTATTTAGTGTCAGTGCCTCTCAAGACTGATTTTGTTTGTTGAAATTGATTTTGTTATATTGAAGCCAAATCCTTATATTGCAGCTTTTGCTTTTCCTGTGAAATAGAAATAAAATTTAAATAATCTCCATTATCTGAATAATTATCCTTTATACAGGTGACATTAAAGTCAGTAACTTTTTCTCTCTGCCTGCCCAATAATCCATCCCTTCATTGTTTTCTTAATGGTCTTTCTTTCCAAACCCCTTTGTTATCTTTGTCTCTCCAGCAAACCTGCTCTTAATACTCCAAGCCCCTTACAGAACCTATTAGAGAAACAATTTTGTCCAGAGACACATTTTCAACATATGGGATCTTTCCAGACCTGTGATTCTGAGCACAATTCAAACATAATTCTGATTGCTGACCCTTCCAGTGCCTTAAGGAGCAAACATTTGTGCCCAAATTTTCTTAGAGACCTGGTTTCTCCTCACTTTATTACTTAAGTTACACCTGCTGAAATTACCTGTGTTCATTTTCTTTCAGTACCACTTTTACCACCTCCTGTCCCTAATTCTGTACTCAGAGCTCTAACGTGCCTTGTGCACCTTCTTTCTCTCAGCTTCCCATAATCAGATGAGTGCTGCATCCAGTTATTTTTCTGTTTGCATTGGCATCACTGCCTGTTGATAATGTTGAATGTATTTCCTTTGTCACAGAATCATGTCATCTTTGGTAAATGCAAATGTTTATATGTTTTAAAAGGGAATGTATTTTAATTTCCAGTCTTTATCAGAATGTTTATAAATGATCCAGCTACTAAACTGTTAAAGCATCAGTGTGGGATGTTGTATTTACCTAAAATTTCCTCAATGCTTTTTACTTTTCAAATCCCTAATTATAGTAGGTCATTGCTTATATTGTGCAGGTGACCATTTCTACCCTGCAGTCAGGTTAAGCTTCCCAGGGGGATGGCTACCAGCATAATATGGTGCAAATACTTTTTTTTTATTTTTTGTTTTTTATTTATTTATTTTATTTATTTTTTTTTTATTTTTTTTTTTGGCTGCTAGCTAGTATGGGGATCTGAGCCCTTGACTTTGGTATTATAACATTGTGCTATAACCAACTGAGCTGACTGTCCAGCCCCACAAATAAATACTTTACACAGCACTTCTGTCTTATTAAGTTGCTAATGATGATTCAGTTAAGCAGTCATCTAGTTTATGCAGTGGATTTATTTTTAAGGGGTTATTATTTTTACTCATAACCTGTCTTATGCATACAGCAAAAAATCAGCAAGTTTCCTTCTTAAATGGCTTTGGCCTTTCAAGTATTATAAAGATCTTTAGTGAGTAAACCGCCTTTTAATTCTCTCTTTTTTTCTTCATTTCTTCCATTATTCCTTCCTTCCTGCCTTCCAGTGTTATTTTCCTCTTTGATTTTGAAACTCTGCTTCTAGATATTGGGAAAAGCAGTTAATCCACCATTACATAAAAAGGACACTTGTCAAACCACTGCCCGAGCACTTCTAGCCTGGAGTCAGTGGACTTAGTTTGGGAAAGAGGATCTGCAGATGAGCTGCAAAGGGTAAACCCCCAAAATTGTATATACTGGAAGCTCCCTGGAGAGCTGCATGTTGGTTGTCAGATTCTCAGATTCAAGGCCCAAAGAGAACCCATTGCCATAGAATAGCAGTTTCCAAGTGTGGTCCTTGGGGATCCCTAGAGGGTCCCAAGATTCCAAGGAGTCTGAAACGCCCTAGGCTTTTCTTCATAGAGGTCACTGAAAACGCATACTCAACACATTTATTAAAGATGTAGATATATGGAATCTAGTTTCCTTATTAAGAAACATTAAAGAGATTTGCAAAATTGTAAAACAGTGCTGTTCTTTTCACTAAGTTTCATCTTTGTTTTATTTTGGAAAACAATTATTTTTCATTTAAAAATATGTTAAATGTTAACAGGTTTATTATTTTTAATGAGTTAGTAAATTCTTATATTGCTCAATTTTAATTTCTTTTTTTCTTTTTTGTTTTTTGTTTGCTTTTGTGACCGGTAAGGGGATCGGAACCCTTGGCTTGGTGTTGCCCGCACTGCACTCAGCCAGTGAGCTCACCGGCCATCCCTATATAGGATCCGAATCTGTGGCCTCGGCGCTCCCAGTGCCGCACTCTCCCAAGTGAGCCACGGGTTCGGCCCACAATTTTAATTTCAGATATGGTAAATAGTTGTGGCTATAACCCATATAAACAAAAGCTGTTTAGAGTCCTCAATAGTTTTGAAGCATATAAAGGATTTTTGAGCCCCAGAAGTTTGAGAACCACTGTGATAGCCTGTTTTTAAAATCACCTCCAATTTCTCCACTGAGAATAAGGCAAGGAATTTGCATAAATTTCTCTAGCCAAATTTGTGGCAAGTTTTTTGTTTTTTTTTTTTTTAAGATGACTGGTAAGGGAATCTTAACCCTTGACTTGGTGTTGTCAGCACCGCGCTCAGCCATTGAGCTAACCGGCCATCCCTATATGGGATCCAAACCCATGGCCTTGGTGTTATCAGCACCACACTCTCCCGAGTGAGCCACAGGCTGGCCCTTGTGGCAAGGTTTTTTTTTTTTTTGTCTTTTGTCTTTTTCCGTGTCCGGCAACGGATCACAACCCTCAGTGTTGCCCCCGTACCGGACCGGGGACCGGCAACGGGATTGCAACCCTCGGCGTTGCTCCCGCGCCTCGCTCAGCCAGCGAGCGGGAACCGGTCTGCATGTGGGATCCGAACCCTCGGGTGGGAGCGCCGCCATGCTTCCCAAGCGGCGCACTATCCAGTGCGCCACCGGGCCGGCCCTATATGAACATTTTTATTGATCATAGTCAAAGGTCTATTATAGAAAAATCTACTCATGCAATAGCAACAACATAGGCAAGTTTGGTGGCCTTTGTATAGCAAGGAGTTCCATTTAATTGCACATGTTACACTTTGGGGAAAAAAAAAGGTTGAGATTGCATATAACAGTTTTTTAAACGAAGCCCTGTCTCCAAATGAATGTAAAATAAATAGAGTGATGTTCTGGGATGGCTTTGTCACCACAGAGATAATTGCCACCTGGGATGGTCAGTTTTATGTGTCCACTTGGCTAGGCTGTAGTCCCAATTCAATCAGACACTAATCTCTGTGTTGCTGAGAAAGTATTCTGTAGATGTGATTAAGGTCCATAATTAGCCTATTTTAAATAAAGAAGATAACCATAGATAACCTGGGTAGACTTGATTTAATC